CTCGTGCGACGGGCTGCTTCCGTTCACCTCCATCCGCTCCTTCAGCGGGAGGTGGTTCAGCTCCCCGTTCGACAGCAGCTCCTGGGAGAATTTCTGGTAACCGTTCCTGCAAGCGGGGAGCACAGAGACTGGATCAGACGGCATGCATGGAGAACCGGGGTGTCCACGAGCAGCCTGCATTAACCACCAGCCATCCCCACCATGGTCTAGCCCACACTCCCTCCATCCCAGGGCCGCTCCAGGCTCTTTTGCACCAGCCCGCTTGCCCGGCTGGGCCAGCCAGACCCAGCTTTTTGGACCTCAGACCCCAGATACTCACATAGGGGGTTTCTTCGGCTCTCCCTGGAACTTCATTTTCTTGGCGGAGTTGGTGGAGCACGGAGGGGCCCGCATCTCGCTCAGCTCCCTCTGAGCCAGAGGAGAAAGAGGGGTCAGGGAGACGGGGACAGCCCCGCTGCGAGGGCACGGCGAGGGGTGGGAAGGAGCAGGGACCCACCTCGTATCGCTTCTGGTCCTCCGCCGCTTTCTTGATCCACATCAGCTTCTCCTTCTTCTCCATGTTGTTCCAAGTGGCCTCCATGGCCTTCAACGCCTTCCCCCGGTCGTTCTGCAGCACAGACCCCCCACGCCACGTTAGAGATGCACCCAAAATGTCTGAGACGCCACAGTGCTACCGCCGGCTCCGCCACGGACCACGGGGCACCCGCTCCCTTTGCTGTGACCCCTGTCCTCCCCATGGCTCCCAGCCCCAACCTGTTGCCTTGGGCGTGAGAGCAGGGGAGAGGGTGCAAGGCAATTCTTGCTGGTGGGAGCGATGATCCCACTTCCAGCTCCTTTCCCGGACCACTCCTCACCTTGAAACGAGCCAGGTAATCTCCGATGACGCTCTGTTGCCAGATCTCCTCAGCAGTCTTGGGAGACTCGGGCAGCTTCCCTCGCTCCTCTTTATCTGAGCCGTGTTTCTTCTCCGATTGCGCCTTCATCGCCGCCTCCCGCGCTTTGTACTTGGCCTGCGCAGGGGTGCACGGCGGGGGTGAAGGGGCAGCACAGCCACCCGGGCACAAGCCCCCGGCCACCAAGCAGCAGGAAGGCAGGCAGCAGGACGCTGCAGTTTCCCCCAGTGCTGTCCCCACGGTAGCACCGGCAGCCCCCCACCGTGCACACCCACGTCTCAGGACTCTCCCCCACCAGGAAAACCATCAAGCCTTTAAATTAGGACCCTCCAAGGTTTCTTAAGCTGCTGGGTTTTGACCCACCAGGTCATGAGAGGGAGAGGGCACAGCCAAGGGGCACCCATCGGTGCCGACACCAGCACCTGGGCGATGGCTCGCCGGAGCTGTGATGCTCATGGGGACAATCGTCCCCCAGCTGCGGTGTCCGGGGGTGAGCAAAGCCCCTTGCAGCAGGACAAGGACAGGCAGTGTCCCCGCGGCTGCCGGAGATGCCCAACAGGGCACGAGGGCAATGGAGATGGGGACGGAGGAGAAGGGTCGGGGACGGCACCAACCTTCTTCTTCTCGGAGAGGTCATTCCACATGCGGGCCAGGAGCCGGGTCAGCTCACTCTCCGACAGCTCCGGCCGCTCCTCCTGCAGCTGCTTCCGCTTCTCCTCCGAGAAGATGAACATGGCGGAGATGGGCCGTTTGGGCTTCTCTGAGCTGGCCTGCGAGAGGGACACGGGGCCGTGGGTGGGGGTGAGCACACAGAGGGACCTGCCTCGCATGGCAGCCTCCAACCCCAGAAAGAACATGATGAAAGAACCAAGGAACGAAGCCTTCAAAGCACCGTGAGACGCCAGCAACCCCATCCCATGTCTCTGGCACATGTTGTCCCATCGTTCCAGTTGCTGCTCACCTTGCCGGTCTCTGGTGAGGACTTTTTGGATGCAGGACTCGTTGCCCCTTTCCGGTTGCTGCCCAGCATCTTCTCCTCACCTAGCACCCGCTGCTGCTCCTCCTCGGGCAGGCTCTGGGTGGCACAGGAGGAGAGACATGGTTAGACGGCTCAATGCTAACGAGGCTTTGATGCCATCAGGGAATAAGGACACTGGGGAGGGGGGAACTCAGTTGTCCTGATCCAAAAGTCACCTCAGCCAGGGCCAACATGAGGCACTGCAAGCCTGGGTGTGCAGCCTGGGGGTCCCCACGCGCACCGCTGTCCCCCTCGCCGGGCAACGTCCCTCTTCCCCACCTCTGTCCCCTCCCCGGCTCAGTCTCATCTGCTTCCTCTCCGCAAAGGCAAGGCGGGCAGGTGCCCAGATCCGGGCGCACCCTTGGGTTTTCCACCCCCTGCCCTTGCAGATACAGCCGGGGCCGCGTCACGTCCGCCCGGGGACCGAGCACGATGCTGGGACGGCCTCGGTGCAGCTCCCCCCACCTACGCCCCGGCTGAGGGAAGGAAGCGAGACTCGCTGCCGCCTGCACAGCTGCTCCGGCACCAGCCCTCCGCTCACCCCTGGCTTCCCCTCACAGCTGGGGGGGCCCATTCCCACCTCCCAGGGCCCAACTGGAAGACACCGGGTCAGGCATTAGGGCAACCGGGGAAGAGTCAAGACTATGTGCAAACATCTCTGCACAGCATCCATGGCTGGGTCCAGCCACGTTTTGGGGGGAGCAGAAGAGGGCAGCATCAGTGCAGCCCCCGTTTAACCCATCTCAGCTCCTGGCCAGGGCTCCCTCCCCGCGTTCGGGGTCTCCAGCACCCGATGGCCAAGGCACCCCCACGTCACTCACCTCCAGGAAGCGGAGGAGCTCAATCTCGTAGTCTTTCTTTTTCTGGAGGGAGATGGAGACGTGCGGTTACACAGAGATCCCCCGCCCCATCCCTGCCTCATGCAGTCCCCGTCCTGGCCTCAGCCCCCTCAGCAACAGCATCCTCCACCCAGACCATCTGCTGGTCCCACACACATGGACTGGGGAGACAGAGGACCGAGGGAGGTGACCGAGGACCTCAGGGGAAATTGGTGGTCAAGATGACAAGAACAGGCACTGAGGAAGGGTGAGGGGCTCATTTCCAGCAAGATTTGTAGCCCAAGCTCTCCCATCCTACTCCTCCCTCCCCATAGCCCTGGTGCCCATCTGCCTGTCCACCCGTCTGTCCATCCTCGGCCACTCACCTGATCACACTTTTTGTGGTACGCGTCCTTTTCCTTCTGGGAGAGCAGTTTCCACTGCTGGCTGCACAGCACCATCCGCTCGGTGCTGGGCACGTCTTTCATGTTGGCCATCAGCTCTGCGCAGTACAGGGAGTAGCTATTCCTGCAACCGATGGAGGGACCCGGCATTAGGGACAACCTGCCCTGCTCACGTCCCCTCTGCGGAACTGGTTGGGTGCTAAGAGCCCCCCAAGACCCCCCAGCTGCCCTCTGGGTTGCAGCGGGCAGTGAAGTGCTGTACCAGAGGTGGCTGCATTTTAGGGAAGCTAGGGGTTGGATTACCCCCTAACCCGCAGCGTCACCATAAACCTCGCTCAGATTCTCTGCAAATGTATATTTAATGTATATTTAAGGACCGGTTTAACGGACTCATTTGACAGCCCATGCCCATGGTCCCAGCAATGATGCTCTTGGGGTTCTCAAAGCCAGGCAGAGCCCCAGTTTCCTCGTTAGCAAGAACCAGCGTCCGCCCGATAGCTCAGAACACATCCCTCGCACCCGAACGAGGAGGGACAGGACTCACGGCGGGGGCTTTGTGGGTCGTCCATCAAACTTATCCTTGAGCTGGCGCTCAGCCTTGGTGAGGGTGGAGCGGGTGATGCCCTCCTCGCTGATGTTCAGCTCGGGGTGCTTCTGGATGTAGTCACGCATGATCTCCTGCAAAGGAAGGAGAGCAGTCAGGAGAGGGGCTCTGATCCCCGCCTGGCTGGGGACCGGAGGAGGAGGAAAGAGAAGCCAACCATTGCCCTAATCATCTCCCCAGGGGTACTTCTTCCTCTCCCAAACGTTGCTGGAGGAGGCAGGGCTCAGACTCACTAGGGACCTGCAGGGATCTGGCTGAACCCCCATGC